CGAGATGCACCTCCACGATACAGCATTCATAGGTCCAGCACTTTTGTTCTTGGATCAATATTTTAATAGCTTTATTGACGAATACATTGTACTTTGGATTGCCTTGGTAAGTGGCAAATGCATTTTTAAGATACATGTATACATCCTTGGTTTTCTAATGGCAATGCTGGATTCATAATTATTATTATATTACTTACAAATTTGTATGCCACCCATTCTCAACAACTCTGGACAGCTCACAACAGCAAAAAAATTATAAAATCAATAATATATAAAAATAAATGATGGCAAGCGCGATAAAGTGAAGAACCAGGTCTTCATGATTCTTCTAAACAACAGCAAAGTGGGAGCCACCTGGATCTTAAGGGGAACTTTGTTCCAAAGGGCAGGCACTGCTATAGAGAAGGCATGCTTCTGTGGTACTGAGTGTAACATTGTTTAATTGAAGGAACCCAGAGTGCACCAACCCTGCAGATGTTAGGGAAACAGCCAAGCCCTCTAATACCCAGGCCCTGTGCCATGTAGAGCTTTCAGGAAGCATCCAGAACCTTAAATCACACCCAGAAACAAACCAGTATAATTTTCCATATCTCTGGATCATGCCTACACACACACTCACCCACAGCAGCAAATGACAAGTGGTTTGATGTTTTAAATTCCATAATAAAGCAATGTTGTCTGTAATTTGAGAAAGAATTTTTAGAATAGAAACACATTATTTATATTCCGCTGAACTTGTAGTCTTGTGTTTGATACTGAGAAATCATAGCTGGGTATCCTAGATCAGGTATCAATCTTTTCGTTTAGCTATGTGCATTGGAAATACAATGCATATTTTTTTCATCTTTTTAAAAATAAGCCAGTGTTCCTAAAGAGAGATAACATTTTGCAGTTCTCTTCATATCTTCAATAAGAAAATATAATTCATTTTAGCCATGTTGTCAATTTTTAAAAAATGTACTCTTTCCTTATGGGGTTTAGTTTTTTCTTTAATGGTTTTTTTTTAATTCTTTATTCTTTTTTTGTTCTTTAAGATCATGTTGATATTAAAGTGTTGATAATTACTCTGATATTTCAATCACTGATACTATTGGAGTTTTCATGTCACAGATTTCATTTACTGCATAGTTAACCTATCCTTTCTCCAAAGTGCTCAGGACAATAGTTGCCATATTTTGTCCATGTTATAACCAAATCATGAAAGATATTCATCTGAATGATAAGGGATTTCAACATAGGTTTGCAGTTCTGTCTTGTGAAACTATATAGCTTTCATAGACCTGTGCCCACAATTAAGAAAAGGTTGATGCTTTTGTATTGATGATGGAAATCCTCTAGCCTAGAATACTAAAGAATGCCATACCTCTAATTGAGGAAGATATAGAACCTAAGATTTCTGCAGCTGCATTGTTGGGGACCTTCTCCTTTTGGGAAAATACAGTAGTGGCCAAAATTGTGGAAACCTTTTGGGAAAAGTGTACAGTAGAAATGCCACCATTGGTTAAGTTTCCACCAATTTTCTTCTAATTTCTTTATAACTGTAGCCTTGTTCACTTAATAATACTGTTTCACATCACTTTCTGCGCAACCAGTCAACTCTTTGCACCATTTCTTTAATTTTATTACATTTTACAAGCTCACTAAATGAAAGAAAAAAAAACCCAACCAATTTGATAACGATCACATAACCCACTGACAAATGTCCTCCTCTCAGCTTCAATACATGACATGAATAACTGAATCCTACTGTTGCATTACATTCTTTATTAAATTATCTTTCCATTGATGCACAATTTTATGGTATTGCTCCAAAAAAAGTGGTGTTATTAGCCATCCAACTTCAAAAATAAAATTTTCCCAAAATTTTCCACAATTTTGGCCACTGCTGTATAGGGCAGGTGAGATTGTGCAGAGACATCTTGAAAGCATTCCAGTTGCAAAAGGGTAAACTAAACTGGTTCATTCCAACCAAGTTGGGCTTTATTTTTATTTATTTGTTTGCATGAAATAACATCATGGGAGTACATTCTTTGAGGAACATGTCTGCCCTGTCCTTTAGCTTAGACCTCTGGGGGACTGGATCTTTCCCAGCTCCCACTTCTGCTTTAAAATGCAGAAAAAAATATTTCTTTGGTCAGGACAAGATAAAATTTTATTGAAACAGTATCCTAATGTTTAAAACAATGAGTTGAAACCCCAAAGAGTAAATTGTGTCAAAGTTTTTATGTCCAAATCTCATACATGTTTATATTATCCTTTTAGATTTTTTCTCTTTTTGATTTACTCCGATACTGTGTCAGTGTCTGCAATCAAATTGCTTCCCATCTTCACATCAGTGTCTTTAAGATCACGACCTACAGTACATATTCAAATCATCACTAGGTTGTTGCAATAACCAGTAGCTGTTTTCTACAAAAGAGGATGTGGTTATATTGAGGAGTCTCCAGAAACTGCAGCAGATAGGAACAAATCTAATTTATAATAATGTTGTATAACTAATTTTGTGATGGATGACACTCCCTAGTTAGACAGTCCTCCAACGAAAGGAGAATCCCAAGCATTCTCCAAACGTCTATATTACCAGGTCCACGGGTGTGTACCTAGAGAAGCATGCAGAGAATAAGGCTTTGTCTTTGTAATTACCTTGAGCACAAACCATGCTCTCAGACAACTGGATTCCCAACAACAGGAATTTCTAATACAGTTACAAGCTATAAGACTATTTGCTTTTAATTTAATTATTCTTTGAAGTGCTCATTTAATACCATCCCAGAAGTAATTATTGCCTTGAGAGACTCTGGCATCTCACTACCTTTGGTTGCTGGAATATCTTGGACTTGAGCCTAGATGACTATTCAACACTAGTTGCTGATAACCATGGTTAGTTTTTAAGAAAACAGATACTTCATGTTATTTGCATTGTCTCTGGAAGCTGGCATTTTGAAATGTTATCTTTGGAAGCAATCCACTGTGGCTGATCATCTTGTCATTGCAAATTGTACAGCCACTGTGATTGATAAATTACTTATTTTGTCTTTAAAAAATTCTAACCCTAATCCCTATGATGTGGGATGATTTTCAGCATGCAGTATAGTGTTATTTGTCAATTTATTTTTTAAAATAAACACTTTAAAATAAATTTTCAGTTTTTTTTTCAGTGGAAAGTCTATACAAAATTTGCAGTTACTTTTTGTATAAAATTTATGCAAAAATATTTCTGTTTAATAAATGAAAATTCTCATAACTATAACCCTTGTGCTCTTATGTTTTGATCAATAGGTACAATATTAATTTGAACTATTAAAGTATATTTATGCAGTTCAACTATATGAGCATTATGGAATCAAAGCCCCAGACCAAAGCAAATAAGGCTCATTGCAGTGTTTCTTGCATAAATAGTACATACAGTATGGGACCCCACCGAAATAAGTCACCCTGCTAGCAAAAGAGATGCACTGATAATTATGCATTTCAGGAAAGGGAAAAAAATGTTGCAGGCATATATATTCATAAGTAATGGATGATATTATCCTACATATTTGTAAGTAATTGATTTTGGGTTACTTCCTGCCCTTCTGCTATCTGCTATCTTCAAAAGAGAACAATTGTCTTTGTGGGAAGAAAGAGTTCAAAATGAGCCAGGAAATTTAGGGCACCAAATCCCAAGAGGAAGAGATTCTTCATTGGCATCTTGAGAACATATTTACATTTTATTTTATTTTCTACTGAAATAATTGCAACAGTGTGATATTTTAAAGTAGGCATGGCTAGAATAAAGTATATAAAGTTTTTAACTCAACAAATCAAATGTAAACAAGAAAGAAATTAGTAAAAATTATCTGAGAAATAATACATACCAGACAAATACCAAGTTTATAAAGATGCCATTTTATATAACATTTCTCTAGCCATACTCAGTGAGGTTTAGCAGATTTTGAAGTCTATTTAAACACCTGCTGTCTTGGACAGGCTATTATCCAACAAATGTTGATGCAAAAATATTGACAGTGACTCTAGCACAGTGGTTCTCAACTTTTTTAATGCCGCGACCCCTCCCCCCAACCGGTCGTAAATCGAGGACTACCCAACTGGTCGTAAGTCGAGGACTACCCAACCGGTCATAAGTCAAGGACTTTCCCTGCTTGGGAGCACCGCGCATGCGTGGTGCCGCCCCCTGCACCAGCCGAGGCGTAGCTGGCAAGCGGCAGAGACGGCGCAGGCCGACCACCGGCTGGGCCACCAGCTGGCACAGCCCAAGGGAGGTAAGGCACCCGCCGGGCCTCACGGGCGCCAGCAACCCTCCCTGCGCCCGCCGGCCTCCCACCTCCCACCCCTGGCCCTCTTTTACTTACATTTTTAGTAGTTGCTCAGCAGGGAGGGGTGGAAACTTCCAGACAGCCCGCCTTCGCTGCAGACAACTTGCAGCACTGTTTGCAGAATGGGACTTTTGGCAGGCTCAGCAGGGCAGAGACAGCCTGGACAATTCCTATTGGCTTTTGAAAGCCAATAGAATTAGACTTTATTCAAGAGAGTCTATTCTATTGGCTTTCAAAAGCCAATAGAATAAAAGGGAGTAGCACAGCTAAGGAAAATGGGAAAAAAATGGCGGACTGCGTTGTTTGGTGACCCCCGTGAAATGGTCATTCGACCCCAAATGGGGTACCGACCCACAGGTTGAGAACCACTGCTCTAGCATGTAGATTATAGACACTGTTTCTCAGATTTTCCAACATGTAGGGTCCAGTTTAATAAAAGGTTGCCAAGCATTTGATATTATATTAGTGACATTCTGGATATGTATTCACAAAAAATGAAATAAATTGAAATTAGTGGTGGTTTTTACCCTCAATAGTATACAATTGAGGGTAATACCCTCTGCATACAATTCTGTGGTATTTTCTTTCTTATATTCCATAATTTACATTCTATTTCAAATAGCATCCATATTCTTTTGCCCTTATTTCTATTTTCTATTCATCCTTTTATAAGATCAGTCTATGTTATAATTCTTTTTTCTTGCTGAATTCTTACTTCCTTTGTCTGCAGTTCTACTTTCACTCTTTTCTTCTTCCACATGTGTTTTTCCTCAAAATCCTTTCTTGACACTACCAAAAAGCGGTCTGTCTCGCATTCAGAACTTCTCATCACCCAGGCATCCTTCAGTATCAATTCATGCTTTTATTTTTTGCAATTTGTTCATATGAATAGACTTGTTTAAACGATATATTTGAAACAATCTTATTTTATATTAGCCAGCTATACTTAATCTTTTATACTCAGTCATGTGGGCTTCTCATGGATGCATTTTACCCCCTTCTGTTTTTAAATTTGATACTGGATCATTGTTTTATTTTATTAAACAAACTGAGAATATTTCAAGAAAACAGCTAGAAATGAACATAAAGTGCTATTATATCCTAATAATATAATATATGTATATTTATATCCATTTTAGGATAAGGAGCACTATGTAGCATGCAGAAAAGAAGTAAGAAATAGTCAACAAAATGTAAAGGCATGAAATAAGGAAATATAAATAGAGTAGGATTCTTAACAATCGATTTAGGTTCATTTTTAACAAACTAAAACATGAATATATCGCACCCATAAATGAATATTCCCTTGGAATAACTATTTCCAGATATTTAAAAGAATTCAAGGAGCAGTTAAAAACCCCAATTAAGTTTTGAAAACATTAAGTTGTTCCAAAAGAAATTTGAATTGTCTAAACTTGCAAAACAGCAGTACAGTAAAACTTTTAAATATCACCATTTACTCCAGCTGATTAAGTAGTCTGGATGGTTTATATATGTTCGTATTGTTTACATCAGATGCATCTTTTGTGTAATGATGTAATTGTGTCAATGCTGCAATTAGGTCATTATTCAAATGAAATAAAATGACATAAATTGGAGCAAATTACAGTTTTGATTTAACAGGCATTTATAAATAATAGACATTCCCATTTTCCAAATAGTCCTTTGAATTGAGATTTTATTGTGTATTCAATTAAACTTTCTTGCAATCTTGACAGTTTGACATTAGCGACACCTAAATTCTTAAGTTATTGTCAGTACTGGGGTATGTTTTAAATAATTCTAAGTCGATAATATTCTTTGAATTAACAGTTAAAAGAGTATTGTATAATAAAGCTGGATAGCGGATATTTTTTTAAAGAACCCCTCTAACGAAGAACTGGAGTATCCCATATTAACAAAACAATGGCTAGGGATCAAAAAATATTAAATGTATTTCTCATCTTAGGATCAGACTAATTCAGCAAATATGTTTAGTGGACAACTAAGAGAAGGGGTTAAAGCAGTTGGCCTGAGGAAAGATTTATTTATATGATAAGAGGCTTGTCCACTATTGCCCTGTTTTTGTTCAATATTCTTAAGTGAATTAATAAATATTACAAAAATCACAGTGTTTAAAGATGTGAATGCAACTCTGAATTATATACAAGAACTTTGAATTTATCACTGTGGATTTATGGATGTAATAAGCATGGGAAGGATAGCCAGCCAAAAGGTTACTCTTCAATACTGTATTGGAAAGATGGTGGAACCCCAGGATTTAAAGTCCAGGATTGCCAATATAATATGCCTTCCTATTTAATAATTAGTCATCTATCAATGTAGTGGAAAGATTGATTATACTGTTCTGCGCAGTCAGTTTAAAGGCATGCTTGTAGGTAGAAAGAGATATAATTAGATAATTATGTTTTCTTTCTTTTTTCCACAGCATGTATTTTTTTATCATAAAAAAATCTTTGGGTGGAGGGAGCACCCCCCTCTGAGTTGTACATTAAATTGTCTTGTTACAGATGGCACAGTTTTTCTCCTGTCTATAAAAGAATTCGGACATTCTTTACATAATTCAGAATATGAATACTAGCAACTGCTAAGCTCTATTTCTACATAATTGTGAATAGAGTATTGTACTTCATGGCAGTTCTAAGATGGTTCAATAGCTGAAGAACCTGAAAACTTTCTAAGAGACATTAATTTTCTTGTAAACAATATAAGCTTGATAACTTGTCCTGTCAGAGGACTTGACTCGCACACTCTCATTAAATTAACTTATTAAAAACTGTGTCCTAAAAAGTACACTTTGTTAACTTTGACATGACATTCAACTTTATATATACCACATTTGTTGAACTCGATAGCAATAACTGGTATACAACAAAACCATGTGGCAAAACATGTCTACCAAGACCAAACTTTACATTCTCAAATGCAAAAGGGACACCTATTGTCCCCTCCCACTGCTTATTTTTTTCTTTTTTTCTTTTCCACCTTTTGTAAAGATATGGTACTACTTATTTATTCTTGGGGCAAAACATGTTGGGCAAATTGGAAAATAGCAGATTTGGTCAATCCGGTCTTCTCCAGGCTAATCCTTATTTGCATTCTCTATTTCAGCATAGTGACAAAATATTTCAAGGAAAGCAAAGACAATCTTTCTATCTTTAGAAAAGATATGCAAAATCTACAGCTCCTGAGAAAACTCTCTTACAGATCAGAGATTTATATCCTTATACTGGACCATCCTACTCATTGTCTATATTAGTATTTGTAACAGATAAACACCTTAGAGATAAACTAAGGCAACTGTGTTAGATTTTGGTTCTTACCATCTGTAACTAATCTAGCTAACCATCAGATTGTTGAAGTCACTAAAAATCTGGAGGATGACAGATAGTCAACCATCCTGGAAATGAACACTAAAGGTAGGAAATTGATTTTTTTCTTCTAACTAAATGATAGCTTTAATTAATATTTTCCAAATTAGCACTGGAAATTCACCAAGAATTAGGCCCCTAAGAATTTCATTGTAAATAGGAACAAATATGTCTGATTAACTATTCACTGGCAGTTACTTGTTCTAACTGTGACACTACAGTGCCACTTACGATGCTAGGAACACCAACAATCCCTCAAAGATAGCATCCTAGGGTTTGCTTGTTTTCCTGGATCTCCAATGTTCAGTGCAAGGATGTGTATCTCCCAATTCATTGATAATATTTTATAGTGGTGGAATGGGTCAAACTGGGTGGACTTTACTAAGTTGACATGGTCACTGGGGATCTGTTTGCTTTTCTGTTTCTTTATTCCTATGCTCTTCAACTCATTCTTTAATCCAATATTGTGGTTCCACTTCCCTCCTTTAAATTGTTTAGTAAAAGAAATTTCATGTGACACTGAGACAAGCATTCCTGCTTAAAACATAGCAAAGTATAGAATGTATATAGAAATCTAACATCCATTTTATAATCCCATCAAGTACAAACATTCAACATAAGACCTTTGGCTTGGAAACCAATTTAATGAGAATAAAAATGTTTTCAATGAATGTAATTGTCTCACTATTTCCACTATATTCTCTGTCTTATGCATTGTTTACTGCATCTGACAAAATTTCCAAAATATGTAGAATCCTATTATCAAAATAGGATTGCTTGATAATACAGTTTTATGCTGCCATTCCTTCTGTGGAACTGCAGCTTTGATTGTCAGTTGGACTACAAAATTTCAGGCAAATTAAGAGCAGCATGTAATGCCAACCAGAAGAAAAAGGGAAATGTAGAAAACAGTGCCCAAGGCTCCCCATGACTTTTCATGGTTTACGTACAAAGCACAAGTACTACCAGGACAGCTAACAATACCAACGGTATCTTTCACCTATGGATCTAATCCAGTTAGATGATCAGTTGAAGACCTGTCTATCTCCTAGGGACCAATCTTCTCTTATGAAGCAAAGATTCAGGAGAGTCTCCTGTATTTCTTTTCTTGATATTCATTTAATTTCTGCTGAAAATATCCTGCAGTTAAAAACAAAAAGTGCATTAGTAAGAATACAATAAGATAGTAATAAATATATAGAACATAGAATAAAGGGGTTGGAAGGGACCTCCTCCTCCCACACTTGGCATATTTAGTTTTTCTCACATATCAGACCCTCGTCTGAGAAGCTTCTGCTAGCTGAGGAATCATCTCTTCGTGGTGAGAATGTAATGTTAAGGCAAAAAAGTACACAGCCACTATGGCCTAGGAATTTACCTTCTATGCACTTCTTGCTTTTTTCTGCTTCTTGAATAAATAATGAGAACATTTGAGTCTTGACAAATTTTTTCACAAATCTGCGGTTGGTCTTGGAGGTGAGAGCCTTGCAAAATGATTGTTCTTGGAAGCTGCCTGTGCCATTTCTGCTCCATTTGATATGTGCTGGATAGTGACCAATCATCCTCACAAAGAATTGTATAAAGGTGTCCGAGACGTGTGCATTGAATTCCTCAGATGCTTGAAAAAGAAGAGGAGAGAGTGCATATCTTCAGGTCAACAGAAATATTTTCTCTATCTTAAAACTTGAATTGCTACTTCAGAAAATTCTACAAACCACCATAACTGGGGCATTGACAGAGCTATCACATGGAAGCCAATTTAGAATGCCCTCTTATAAGTGCCATCACATAAAAAATTGTGTACACTGCCTCAAATGAAGATTTGAGGTGTTTCCTGAATCGTGAAACTAGTCACCCTTTCCTTTTCAATCAGATATGCAGTCTTAAAATTTTAATAAGCACATTACACCTATTCATTAACAACAATAATCTAGTGATGCTAAAGTGCCTCAGTGTGCCAGGATAGTTTGTGAGGATAATGGAAGGTTCCTGATCATAAGAATTGAGGGGCCTGGATGTTGGAACAGGGCTGCTGTTGGGGGAATAGAGGCAGGCCAAAGTATTATAGCGGTGATGGACATCTGGAGATCTGGTAAGAGACAGGAAACGGGTTAAAAGGCTAAGAAAATACTAATATGAATAAACACATAGCTGCAAAAGATTTTGCTTGCTTTGCCAGTTAGCTAATAATGTAGAAAAATGATTTAGCTTTAAAAATTAAAAGCCTTCCAAGTTTATTAACCTCAAGCATGAAATTCTACAAATTCACTTTCTGCCAAAATATATCAAAGAAGACATGGCAACACATCTTCCTGAAAGCATCATCAAATATTAGTTCTATAACCAAGGCTTAATTTTCAGCAACAAATCAAACCATCATTGTGTATGTATTGTAGCTAATAATTTTAAACATAAAAAGCTATTCTCATGATTTAACCTCTATAAATTGTACACTTTACTCAAGACATGAACTGGAGAAATCTTTTATCATCCTTGTCTTAATATTACCAAGTAAATGACAAATATGGAGCAGAAGAGTTGTATTCTATACTATATGTTACAAGTAACTTGTCCTGGATATACTCGAGAGATATCAGAAGTAAAGCTGAATGATTAGAAAATGAATTCAAAAAACCAATGTTATAAATACATTCTATTTCATTCTATTTTTCTTTAGTGAAAATTTATTGTTTTGTCCAAATGTTCCTGGGCCTATAAAATAAAACAATAAAACACAAGGGAATTGCATGAACATTTATATTTTACTCCACTCTCTTGTTTAATGTCAGCCTCCAGGCAGCTAGCTAAAACTGAAAATAAGATTTTCTTAGAGTTTCCTTTAAAAAAATTTATTGGAAAGAAATGGAACACAGTGACAGAAATCTGAACAATGGCATTGTTTTCATGTCAAAACTCAATTTTTTTTCCAGCTTGTTAATATGAAGGCTTTCCCAGTTTTTTTAAACTAATGGGCTATCTATGAACATGCAAGAGAATGCCATAATTGTCTCCCTAATAGCTGAGGAATGTGTAGGTGAGTCAGGATGTGAAGTTTGCTTTAGATGGCGTACCAGGCGGAATACAGATGAACTTATTAACTGAATTTCCCAGTGGTATGATTCCAATCAAATAGGTATATAATTTGGCCTTTCTGCTCAACTGCAGTTTCAGGCTATACTTGTCAATCAGCTCTCTGCACCACTGTCTTTGCTTGACGCAAACAATTTTATGTGATTTACATGCAAATAATTCCCTTCAAAGTAGGCATGACACAGTACAGGAAGGGCTCATTTGTTATATATATATAATACTTTTCTTTAATCTTAGCAGGCAGCCTCCAAAAATGAAATAGAACAGCATATTTCAAGTTGCACATACACTTTTCCACCCCCCTTTTTAACATAACCTATTTTTTACTTTGAAGGGTATCCTTAACATAACAGAAACATGCTACATATAGTGTTTCCACTTTCATTATCCCCCATAAGGCAAGGCTAACATTACATTATTCTACACTAACTATATATTTATATATATTATTAAAATATGACAATATATGCTTTAAATATTGTTTAAAGTACCAGTGTTTCTCAACCTTGACAATTTTAAGGCATGTGGACTTCAACTCCCAGAATTCCACAGCCAGCATCGCCTTAAAATTGTCAAGGTTGAGAAACACTGGTTTAAACTATCTTAATTCTGTACGATGAACAGGACATTGAATTTGGCATCCACTCTTATGTTTAGCCTGCCATTATTACTTCCAATTTTGAGTTTGATGTTCTGGAACTTGTCCAAACCTTCACCTCTTTCAGCTTCTGGCAATTGTGAACTAAATCCAACTGCTGAAATCATTGCTGTTGGAAACCATATGGTGGGTTGTCTACTGCAGCTAAGTTTCAAATTGTATTTGCTAATTCAAGATTTCTCTGACCTAAATTTGAGATTATACAATTATTCCTCATAGGCCTTCTGTCAATATTAATTTCCTTTTGAATTCTCAACATAATGCACTTGTTGCTCTAGTTGTGGTTTTATTATTTTCATCAGGTGACGAATTTTTGCTATTTTCACAAAGACACAGTGTCATGCTTTAAACTCTCTTGAAATAACTTTGCTGTTGATCTTAACATTTTCTCTGCTTTCCCTGTAACCAGAACAAGTCCTGAAGAATCTTAGGTTGAAGAGTTATAAGAACAGACAAAAAGCTTGTTCTCAATATATGGCCCATCCATAACTACACCAGGGAGTACTCCAGGCCAATCAATATTTTATTCCAAACTTCCACTAAAACTTAAACTTTCTTACCTATTACTTACAGTTTTATAAAATACTATTCATTTATTTATTGTTCAATTGCTTACTGTTTATTATCCAGTCTCCCATTCAATATGGCTGGGGGTATCTTGAACTGGACTGTATTAATATTATTCCAAGACCTTGTAAATTATGCTATGTTTCTACTGGCAAAATCGAATATCTGTACATACAGCATCATGTAGTATATATAACTAGCAAATACATCTGTAATTTCAAAATATGCAACAAAGAAAGCTGACTTATCTGATAAATTCTTTTCTGAATTCCTGGAAATTTTAAAAACAAATTCACTGGAAGCAACTATGTCTACCAAATTAAAAAATACCAACAGCTGTTTTACACCATGAATGCTTTTTTGTTTGTTACTTGGCCTCTGCTCTTGACAAAGCTGACACTGTTTAGCACATTTTCTACATAGTGCGTCATCCTTGTTAAATGCATAGTTTCCCAGTTACTGACACATAATGTAATTCTTGATGTAATTTATGAGGGCAACTAAGCATTTCTGTTTTCATATTACTATGGACAATAATCTTACTCCCAGCCATCATTAGAAACCCTATACACAAATTAAATCTTTCAAAGATCAATGTAATTGTTGCAAAACAGGTTTTAGTTACTTTAAACATCTAAACCGTTTTGATGATACTACTCAAGTAAAAGCCTGTAATTCCAAATATTGATCTGGGTAATGAAATTAATTAATCTGCCCTTACAATTGATGAAGAACTGAAAGACTAAGTAAGAATAGAATATAGAATAGATATAGATCTCAGAACCACTGAACTAACCAACAGAGGACTAGAAAAGAGCGGATGAAGTTCCCATCTTCAAAAAAGGAAAAAAAATGAATCCAGGAAATTACAGACCTATCAGCCTGACCTCAATACCTGGGAAGATTCTGGAAAAGATAAACAATGAATCAGCAAACACCTAGAGACAAACAAAGTCGTTTGTCAAAAACAGATCATGCCAGACAAATCTTATTGCATTCTTTGACCAAGTGACAAAATTAGGAATGCTGTGGATATAATTTACTTGGACTTCAGTAAAGCATTTGATAAAGTAGATCACAACCTACTACTCGATAACATAGAAAAATGTGTGTTAGACAACATCACTACCAATTGTAACTGGCTGGCCAGCTGTACTCAGCGTGTGGTCCTCAATGGAACCGCATCTACATGAAGGGAAGTGTGTAGTGGGGTGCCCCAGGGCTCTGTTCTGGGCCCAGTGCTCTTCAACATCTTCATCAACAATTTGGACAAGGGGATAGATGGGGAAATCATCAAATTTGCAGACAACACCAAGCTGGCAGGAATAACCAACACTCCAGAAGACAGGCTTAAGATACAGGAGGATCTGGACAGACTTGAACACTTGGCGCTTCTAACAAAATGAAATTCAGTGGTGAAAAAAGTAAGGTTCTACATTTAGGCAAGAAAAACCAAATGTATAGGTATAGTATAGGGGGTACCTTACTCAATAGTAGTATCTGTGAGAGGGATCTCGGAGTCCTAGTGGACAATCACTTAAATATGAGCTAGCAGTGTGCTGCAGCTGCCAAAAAAGCCAAAACAGTGCTGGGCTGCATTAACAGAGGGATAGAATCAAGATCACGTGAAGTATTAATACCACTTTACAATGCCTTGATAAGGCCACACTTGGAATACTGCATCCAGTTTTGGTCACCACGATGTAAAAAAGATGTTGAGACTCTAGAAAGAGTACAGAGAAGAGCAACAAAGATGATTAGGGGACTGGAGGCTAAAATGTACAAGGAACGGTTGCTGGAATTGGGTATGTCTAGTTTAACGAAGAGAAGGATGAGGGGGGACATGATAGCAGTGTTCCAATATCTCAGGGGCTGGCACAAAGAAGAAGGAGTCAAGCTATTTTCCAAAGCCCCTGAAGGCAGGGCAAGAAGCAACAGGTGGAAACTAATCAAGGAGAGAAGCAACCTAGAACCAAGGAGAAACTTCCTGACAGTTAGAACAATTAACCAGTGGAACAACCTGCCTCCAGAAGCAGTGAATGCTCCAACACGGGAAGTCTTTAAGAAGAGATTGGACAGCCATTTGTCTGAAATGGTATAGGGTTTCCTGTCTGAGCAGGGGGTTGGACTAGATGACCTCCAAGGTCCCTTCCAACTTTATTATTATTATTGATCATCGCACAGTCAGCCAGATGTTCAGACTGGATTTGGCATTTTTGTCTGCCTACTGAGTCCTTACCAAGGACCTGGAATAGGTTGATGTGGATGTTTGATGGTATTACAGATATCGTCGCAGGATGGAAGCAGTTCCTAGTAAGGCCGCCTTTTACAATGGTGAATTTGTCAATGCCAATGGTGTTGTTGTTGTTATGAATTATTATGAATAGAATAGAATAGAATAGAATAGAATAGAATAGAATAGAATAGAATAGAATAGAATAGAACAGATCCAATAGCAATTTTATTTCTTACCTAGGCATACTTTATTCTGCGTCAGTCAAAGTTCATGAAAGAAAATCCTTGTTTAAAGAAAGCAAGCATCTAACCACTCTTAGATACGGCTGAAGGAATAATTGATTTTCTGGGATCATAACATTTTATTATATACAACATTGTTTTTAAATCTTGCAATGTCCTATCTTATTCTGCAAATCATTTCCATATATACTATTACTACATAGCAGTTATCTCAATAAAGTTATTTCTGCTTCACTGGGAATATATTGTGCAAGAAATCTGAGCATCCCACTAATGGCATATTACATTTTTAATTACTTCTGATGAAATGCTCATGTATCTCATTCATCTTAGATTGGATATTATCTAAGTTAAATTTATCATTCTCCTGTTGGGCTCTTTCCATCAGTATCTTCAATATGTCACTGTCTTCCCACATGGAGAAAGCTATAATCATAATATCTAACATAAAATGAGGACCAGCTATGTCACCAAACATTTCATTATTTTTCTGCTGAAATACTTCAGCAATACACTAAAACAAAGACTAAAATATTTATCTTGTTACTTTAGTGAAATGTTATCCATTTATTTACAGTATTTTTGTACAACTGATTCCACATAGATTTTCTGAAGTTTATAAGAATAAGCATAACATCCATAACCTAAAATAAATGAAAAATTCAACATACCCTATTACTCAATACTCTAATGATGTCTAAACTCTCAATAAAATTCAGACCATTACCCCTTAAATATTCTGCGGAAGAGTCTATTTTGATTGTCTTTCTCAATGGAAAGACAGTAGGGATGCTGTTTTATCTCTGGGGATAGTGAAATACATAAGGATAGTTCATATACTGAGTAAAAAGTCCTTTTACTACGGCTTCCCTAATGTCATGAAAGAGGTGGCTCTGTCAATATTACTTTGAAACAAATGGCCTGGATAGACCAGTTCTACCTGAACCTGTCAGGTACTTGTCAAGTATAAATGGACATATACTGATGATTCATCTAAATCAGACATGTCAAACTCACGTGATGTCGTGCAACGTATCGGGAAAGTTTTGCCATTGCCAGGAATGGGGTGGGCGCGGCTTCTGCGTGATGCATCCGACCCATGGGCCGGCAGTTTGACACCCCTGATCTAAATTAATGTGCCAGTCTTGATCTAATTTTAATCTAGAATAATCACTATACTTTTGACTTTGGACCTCCAACAATGCAGGAACTGAAAAAAATACTACCCTGCTATAAATTCAATAAGCTATCTCAGCACAAACTCTGAGATTACGATCAGTGATGACTTTTCTTCAGTGATAACAAAACTATTAACCCAAAGGATAGGTCTATTTACTTTAACCACAGCACTGTCTTTTTCTAACTGCTGTATCTTACAATTTCTTTGCACAACAAAAGGTGCACTTTAGGGTATCATTTATTCAGCAATGCTTTAGTTTCCATCATTCTACATACTAATTGAAAATCATGTTTCCTTTTCAGCAATGGACTATCAGATAATCGGGTAACACAAAAATGAAAAATGGTCTTCTTTAAAATAAATTCTCTCACATAATCAAAGCATGAACCATCACATGGAACCAGAACAATCTCAGAACAAGTTAACATCACAGCTGTTTGCTTTTTTAAACCCAAAGGTGCTTTTTCAGGAGGCAGCTGGACTTTCTTTGTTTTTCCTTTCTTTGTTTCACTTCCCATCTAAGAATCTTCTTCAGTTATTTCTTAAAGAAAAAGTTCACACTAATGTTTCACTCCATATTTTATCAATGAACTATTTATTCCGAAAATTACCTTTATGTTAGCAAATAAAGCACAAATATCATCATACACACAAATTTATCTAAACCCATTCAGATATGTTGTGTTTCTTCCCACAGTCCCCAACCAATAGCCATACTAGAGGGGAATTAGGAGATCTGAGATCAAACAATGGTGATGAAATACAACTGGCTAGGCAAGGCTGGCACAGAGAAGGATCTTACTCTGGATGTTGTTGTTCATTGTTGGCAAAGAATGCAACATTTCACTTCTCAGCTTGGGTGGCAAAATCTCCTCCTCATCTCCAACCTGTAGAATTATTAAAGAGGGAAGTTATATCAATAACCAACTATTGCAAATTAGCACTTGTAGCATAGTGAAAGATCCACAGTTCCTCACAATACCTGTAGGCCTACTCAAGAAAAAACTGGTCTTACTATTAACTCACTAAAGCTATTTTTAGCATTTAGAGCATTCAAGAAGAAAAAGAATTTCGGCAAGCGGGAATTTAGAAGATGAGGATAGAGAGCTTTCTAAAAATAAAGCACATTATGTCATAGGAAACATCAGCAAACAATGATAGATGATACTGTAAGTAAAGGGAAGCTAGCTAATTGAAATATTAATTGCCCATTTTTCAAGGCAAACCATCAAGAATAGGAGACAACCATAACCTGAAATTGGGAAAGAGCAGGAGCAAAGTAAAGTCAGCAGAATTAACCAAGAAATATTGAAGAGAGGGAGAGATGAAACAGATTAAGAAAGAAGAAAGTAGATAATATGGAAAAGATAGCAAATCAGGACTAGACAACATTTATTTTGTGGAGTCTTGGTGCTCTCTGAGCTTGTTTATCTGCTAGAAGATGATACATTACCTAACTCGGTTACATCTTCAAGCACTATTGATACTACATAGTTAGATAATGAAATCTCCGCAAGCAAACAACCAAGCCTAGATGGCATCAAGAACTTCATAGTTCAACCCTGAATTTTAGAAATTTTCATCTGTTGCATATGGTTCTAGCTTCATTTTAATTACTCCAGGGTCCTCCAATATCATGGTGGCCAAATTTAGCATCAAATTTACAAAACTTATGCCCATTTTGTATTTTAAAAACAAGCAATCCCCCAAAAGGAGTCCAAAATTTTATTTCCATGACTTTCTTGCCCTGTGGCTTTCAGTGGCTATATAAGGCATATAGGCAGGGGTGTGTGTGAGAGAGGGGGGGGGGGAAGCTGTGAGAGGAAAAAATGTTGCAAGTCATTGTTGTAAAACGACTGGCAACCAACCAATGAAACAGAGCTAAAATTCTGAGAAGAAACTGAACCGGATGAATTTTACATCATTAACTAGAAGTGCAGATCTAAGGTCCATAAATGGTTACAATATAGCTCTTGGATGGAACTTACCCATTTTAAGAATTCTCCTTGGGACAGATCTACAAGCAACACCTAAAAAGGAAGCAATACTTATTTATTTGTACTTGATTTAAACAATTTGTAGGGCCACTCATCTTTAAACAACCCTGTCGGCTTACAACAGTAAACTACAAAAACCATATGACAAAAACTAAAAGCCCAGTATGTTAATCATCCTCCCAGAGTTCCCTCACACAGGGATCCCCCAACCCCCGGGCCACAGTAGACTATCTGACCATGGCCAGTTTGGAAGTAGGCCGCACGAGCGGTGGGCCAGCATATCCACAGCTAACTCAAAAAAGCAACAGGTTTTTCGCATTGGCCCACTGCTCATATGAGTTAAGCTGCGTGGCCACCAGGCTGACAACTCGCGCAGGCAGTGGGCTTTTCACACTGGCTTACTGCTTGCGCGAGTCGAGCTGTGTGTATGCTGGGCTGGCGTTTGCATGGGCCACTTCCCCTCCCCCCCCAATCGGGCCACCAAGCCATAAAGGTTGGAGACCGCTGCCTTAACAACCAACAATAGGCTCCTACCACACTACTCCAGTGCCTGAGTAAATAGGCAGGTTTCAATGGGGCCTAGGGCTAAAAGAATGGAGGGAGGGCAAAGGAGCATGCCTGATTCAATCTAGCGGGATAGGCAAGATTATTATTATTAGAACAGCTATCTAACTTGCAAGCCAGCTTCAGCACACCACTGCTCATATGTGTGTGTATGTATGTATGTATGTATATGTATGTACAGGAAATTTTTATTTAGCAAACACAATTGGAGCCAGCAACTTGGTCATTGAGCCAAGAGGTTGCTAACTGAAACCACATTTGTGAATTTGATCTTATTTCAGTTTTCCTTTGCTTTATAGATATGCAAAGATTATAAATGCAAGGATTGATTGCAAAATTATTTTTTATCACTATCATTAACTATGAACGATCACTAAACAAGGCAGTTACTACATGTAACTGCATACAGTATCAAAGCTGATGACAAAGATTTTTCCACAGACTGGAGAATGCGTGGTTTTGTGTGCTGCCTGCATCCCACAGATGGGGCTTTGCTTGTTTGTGCAGACCGGTTGCTGGCATGCTGTGCACCAGTACCAGTCCATGGACCGGGGGTTAGGGACCCCTGGCCTAAATTAATTTTAGGAGATACAAATGTTCATGTTAAAATTTTAAAAACCCATGTAATTGATTAAGTAACTGATAGGGATGATTAGGAACATTGTCACTGGGAAGAACATACAGAAATATCACCACAGTCAATCTCTGTGCTGGTGTTTTTCACAGACACGTAGCAAACGTTAATCCATTCAACTATCTTTGTTCTTATATGGAAATGTGTAAGCCTTTACCTCTTCCATAGGTTGATCCTGAACCTCTGCCAGGTAGCGCTTTTGGATCCCAACCATAAATGGTGTGGGACAGCAGACGGTGCTGAGAAGTTTCTCTGGAACCACTGGGATGTATGTATGGGCCCAGGTAAAGGGGTAAAGAAGAGCAGCAGCTGAGTGAATGCACGTGGAGAGGGAACTGAAAGGAAGCCAACGTTTCAGATTAAAACATAAAATAATATTTTAAAGCTAAGGAGCATATCTAAATAATCAGTTCACCTTGCTGCATAAATACCCTTTGCATGTTTATTATTTCATGGTTTAAATGCATTGCCACTGCTGTCCTAAAGGGTTTATTGCAATACAGTATTACTGATTTTAAATATATATAAATGTAATTATGATTCTAATAGTCAAATATATTTCTACTTCATTCTGCAATGATTCTTAGCAAGGACCAGGGAAACTTTTTATCTCCAATAATTCCAAAATTGTAAATAAGCACCCCAGCTTCTGTCTCTCATCCGCTCCCTCCCCTGACCTTTTGCTGCTCTTTGGACAAAGCAAGAATAATGATATAGCCAGCTCCTAAATCAATGAGATCCTTATTTGTCGCTGCCCTGTTGTTTCATAGATGGGGAATTCTCTTGCCGGAAGTCCCAAAATGGGAATGGTATGGTTTTATAAATGTAACACAGTCATTGTGAAAACCATTAAGATAACCTTCCAATCTAAAAGTTTTATTACAAACTTTATAGGACGGATACAGAGCTCAATGGATGGTTAGGACTGCAGAAAAAACTACTGCAACCAGCCTTCCATTGAGGATCTGTATACTGCAAGAGCCAGAAAGAGAGCTCAGAAAATATCTACAGACCCTTCATATCCTGGACATAAACTGTTTCAACTCCTCCCCTCAGGACACCATTATAGGGGATTGCATACCAAAACAACTAGACATCCCCCCCCCATGCCATCACTCTGCTAAACACCTAATTCCCACAACACTGTCTTATGCCTAAGGATATTTACCCATATAGAAGGGCTATATTGCTATTATCCTTCTCATCTTTCCTATGCTTTCTCCTATTGGTATGATTTACCACTTTGTTGTTTGTATTTTATTATTTATGAATATATCTTATCATTTATGATTTATCACTTTGTTGTTTGTGGGTACATAGAGAGCTTATGCACCGGAGACAAATTCCTTGTGTCCCCAATTACACTTGGCCAATAAAGAATATTTTATCTAGCCTAAGCTAACCTTAAAATATCTCATCTTACCAAGTAATATCAAAATATTTATGTTATACATATAAAAAGGAAGCCTGTATGTATTTCTCCATCTGCCATATGGCCATTTCACAAATTAATTAACCCAAGTAATAGCAAGTTATAAAATGGAAAGCTGATCCAGAGTAAATGCTATGCTCCAGTCCTACAGACTGGTGAAGCACAACTGACTTACTAATTTCAAGGGGACAAGCACAAAATTGCTTCATTATGCTTAGCGTTTACCTAAGCTCATCAGCCAGGAAGATTATCCGTCTCTCCAGAACTACAGAGGCAAATATCAGAAGTATCTTTTCAGGACTGAGGCACCGTAAAAGGGCCTGAAATTCCACATGCTCCAGGTGAGAATCCAATGGCCGGGTCAGCTCAATTTGCTAAAAACAGGACAACAGGATAAAGATAACATAGTAATCATAGCTGAATACTGTTTGTGTAAAATAATAATTTTCACTGGGATTAAATTTCATCTTTTTTCCAGTTCTGAATACATGGTTATGACAGCTGTAATTGCACCCTTAGAACCTAAAATAGGGGACAATGCTAAAATATGGCTTAGCGCAATGACGTAAATTTAACAAGCTGCAGGCTCCCATACTTGCCTGTGATATGCCTGAGTTCTATATTTTATATAAATTTCGGGTAACTCTGGTAAATTTTAAAAAAAATTATATAAACCCCTTATCAAATCAAAATATATTTATTCTGCTTTGCTCATACAAGCCACTTTTAACTATGCAATTTAACACAATTTTGAATTGGAAAAGATGCTACTAGACCCTTCTGAATTTTGACTACCATAAATAAACACAGCTTTCCTTATCTGTCAGGCTCTCCTGACCTGCTCAGCAATAAATCATGGATCTCCTGGCATTTTGTGACTTAGCTCAACTCTTTAGCCAACCTTGGCAGAAATTTACAAGCAACTCCAATAGACTGGAATGTTTATTGAGGGTAAGAATGAAGCTATGCTTATGAGTTAATTGCCCACTCCCAGTGAGAAGATGTGAATGACTTCTATTGCTTTTGGGTTTAAACTCGTGTGTCTTCTTTATGAACAAATTTGTATTTAGAACAGGCCTTAGTACTAATACTGAGTAATTGTTGCATATTTATATAATGGTCATTTCCAGTTTGGAAATTAATGATTCTAGCCTCAACCCTCATAAATTCAGCTGCAAACCAGAGCAGTTAAATGAAAGAAAGATCACCTCCTTGTAGCTATGCAAGAGAAGATTGGAGTGCAGATGTATCTATGGAGGAGAGACATCATTATATTCACACACTCTAGCAAAATATAACAGAATAACAGAGTTGGGAAGGACCCTGGAGGTCTAGTCCAATTCCCTGCACAAGCAGGAGACCCTATACCATTTCAGACAAGTGACTGTCCAGTCTCTTCTTAAAATCCTCTGGTGATGGAGCACACCCAACTTCTGAAAGCAAGCTGTTCCACAGGTTAATTGTTCTCACTGTTAGGAAATTTCTCTTTAGTTCTAGGTTGCTTCTGTCCTTAATTAGTTCCCATCCATTATTTCGTGTCTTGCCTTCTGGTGCTTTGGAAAATAAGTTGACCCCTTCTTCTTTATGGAGCCCTCAAATATTGGAACACTTCTTGATTTAGCAAACCATAACACTAAATTATAGACTACAATTTGCAAAAACAAATTGTTATTAGGTTCATTCTATTGAAACAAACCACACTGATGTAGAGCCACTAGCTATAGTTGTTTTGGCACAGGAACTAGCCATGCATTTACAAAATTAATCATTCTGTCAACTTTTTGATATACATAGGGATGCATATGTATAATTTGAAAAAGATTTGGAAGGAGAGTTCTGAACCTCTCCCTGAGTATGCCATCTCCTCCCTCCACTATTCATTAATGCTTGCTCAAATTTTCAGGCTTTTGCTATTGCATTGGTGCAGTACAATGGTTAAAATAATCTGTTTTCCCAGAAAGCCAGTTCAATATGAGGTTGGTACAAAGAAGTTTTCTATGTCCATATAAGGCTAATGGAAAGATACAGATACTTTTGAAGAATATGTACTGCACACCCCATCAAACTCCTCCAGTTGTCTGAAGCACTGAGCAAGCCAGGAAACCAAATACCAAAATGTCATCCTGATAGTTGACAGAGAGAAAACTCTGAAACAGGAAGTCAGTATAGCAAATCACACAGAAGACAATGCAACAGAGAATTGAAAGTTCATGCTTTGAGCTATTGTGACAAAGAGGATAAAAACTGAACCTCTGCCAAGACAACTATTAATTACTCCAGAACTTCACTTATGTCTGGAAATCATATTTGACAGTAAAACACATTTCAACTTTTTAAAAAGATTTGTCTGCATCAATTACCAATGCATCCCTCAAAGATCCAGAGACTCGGGGCAAGAATAGATCATGCTATTTCTTAAAGATCCTTAAAATTGAATCTGCAAAATACCATCAAAATAGAATTAGGACATGATAAAATCAGTTTCCTACTATTGTAGTCTGATACTTGGTAATCAGCAATGGATTCTAGAAAAACTTTCATCTGGAAAGGGCTTCCCCCATCTTTCTGGGAATACTGAATCACTGATTCACTATTTTATTCTACTGTTCTCTTAGCAACTAACAGCCCTCATTCTTTAAAATGACTGAATAGGTTTTACATGAAGTTCCTCTTGGTTAACAAAAAACACAAAACAATATGGGCCGTCACTAAGTTTGCAGTTGCATTCATGCATTGCTAATTAAGTGAAGCATTATGTTTCACATTGTTCTAATGTCATTTTGCTGTGTTTTATTTTGTTGAGCGTAATAAAGAATAAGCTTTAAAGTAGCCACCAAATTAATATGACAGAAAATTATTAAATACTAATTAAATTACATTAATTAATTTAATTAATTATATATACATTAATTAAATAAAAATTGTTAAATTCTATCAAATGCTATTTGATTTCAGTTTACTTACTTTTAAATTAAACACAGCCACTGAAAAATCAAAGATAGCCCTTGGTCCAAAATGTGCACTGCTAACCTATACTGTGGTCCAACTTAACATTTATTTATTGGATTATTACTTTCATATCCTTTCCTTAAGAACTCAAGTTGCATAGGGGCATCCTCTTATTTAATCCCCACAAAAGCCCTTATTAGGCTAGAAAGAGAGATAAGACCACACTCACTAAGTGGATTCTGTGATCAAGTGGGGATTTGAACCTCAATCCCCTAATTCAAATCCAGCAATGTATTCACAATACTGCATTACTTCTTCAATCCAATGCAAGTAGAGCTCCAGGTGTACAGGAAGTAAACCATAAAACAGAGCTTCTCATCTGTTCAATACTCAACTAATTAAATATTTTCATATCTACTTCTAAATGTTTTATGCTGCAGCAGTTTCCTGACTCTCCATTTCAATGGAACCAGTTTCAAAACCTAAATGGTCATTTCCTAATTTGTCAACCTCACTGAGGTTAAGCAGTGCCACTAATGGCAACTCCATTCTGTCTGAGATAGTAAAGGAAAATGTCAACTAATAGTGAAGTAGAAACTAACTAATGAAATAGTTTGACCTAATAAAATGACTACAGAGATGATTCTATACTTTGCCTTTAATGCTTGAAAATATAAAATGCAAATAATTTACAAAGGGTTGGAGCTGCAAATTCAAGACCTATGTAATGAAGAAGTCAATCCACTGCTGATCCCATGTGTCTCCCTCAAGGTTTGTTAACTAAACAAGTCAAGGTTTAAAATAACCTACCAGGCCAAATTAAACCAGATTGGTCTAGTAGTTAATGCACCAGGCTAGAAGCCAGGAGACTGTGAGTTGTAGTCTTGCCTTAGGCATGAAAGCCAGCTGAGTGACTTTGGACCAATCACTTCTATCAGGCCAGCTCAACTCACAGGATGATGGTAGGGAAAATTAGAGGGGGAAGGAGTATTGTGTGTGTTCGCTGCCTTGAGTTTATAAAAATCATAAAGGTGGGATATAAATAAATAATAAGAATACTAGAATGCTATGAATATGGGGTTGGGTAGGTTCTGTTGCTAAGAAGTCATATAATTATTTTTCCTTCAAACAAGACCATTATAGAAGTTTTGTCCCTTTTCTCTCTCAGTGGGCATAATTTTATAGTCTGTGCTTTGCACAGCTCTGTACACCTGGCTCAAGCTGATTGTATGGAATCAAATCAACAATTGGGTTGGGAGGAGAGGAGTTTCCCCTGTAATAGGTATCCAATAGGCATCCCTTTTTTCCCCTATATCAATGACACCGGTTATATTCTGCAGAACTGCAGCATGCCATTACTATATCAATATTTAATATGGAGAGGGGGATAAGCGAGAACCAAAGGAATCCAGCTAATTATCACTCTATACATTTGCTGAGTATGATTAGTAAACATTATGCCAGTGTTTCCCAAACTTGACAATATTAAGGCATGTGGACTTCAATTCCCAGAATTCCACAGCCAGCGTGGAATTGGGAAACACTACATTATGCCTTCCATTTGAATAATAAATTACAAGTTATGATAGAGAAAGGGTCAACTCTGGGCAAAGAGCAAACTAGTTTTTATCCCAACTGTTCTATATTACATCCTATGACAGCTAATTGAAAAAATATAACTGCAAGAGCAGGCCTATACTTTATGTAGCCTTGTATAGATTTCAAATCATTGTTTGATTCCACTCCAAAAACATTTTGGGGGGAGAAGTTAAAATAACACAACCATGGATAGGCATTTCCTGTTTTTAATTCAAACATTTACAAAAATGCCATTTTTCATGTTTTTGTAAAGAATTAGGAGTAATCCTTTAAATATTTTGACTAATCCAATCTCTATTTGAAATGGAATTAGATAAAATTCTTTAGCCCTTACCCTATTTAATCTCTATTTAAACTTATCAAGTAGATCAGGGGTCCCCAACCACCAGTCCGTGGACTGGTACTGGGCTGTGGCACACCAACAACCAGTTCATACAAACAAGCAAAGCCCCATCCATGGGATGCAGGCAGCACACAAAACTACACACTTTCCGGTCCATGGAAAAACCTTTCTCCAAGGAACCGGTGCCTGATGTCCAAAAGGTTGGGGACCTCTGAAACAGTTTTCACCCCCAAGATTATAGGAGTGGGTATTCTGTTCTTTTGTATGCTGATGATGTAGCTCTGCATTCAGATCTTTTACCCATTACTGTGAAAGCATCTGCTGGTAATTAATGACCAGAAAACCAAACGGCTTCTTGCCAGGAAATCTAAAAGATTTAAATGAGTTATCAAGGGAATAAAAATTAAATCAAATAAGTGTTTTGAATATTCAGGCCACAAATGCTTGGAAGATGCATACTAATCAAGTTATTTCACAAGCACA